GGGGTCTTAGCCCTCATAGGAGGGGAGCAGACAGCAATTCCTGTATTGGACAGACAAATGACTCCAAAGCCACGTTAGGTGCTAGGCAGGACAGTAAAGCAAAGTGAGGTGCTGGCGAGGGGTGGATTGTGTTTGTGAGTGCATGTGTGTGTGTGTCGGAGGGGATGAAGATCCTTCTTTTTCAGATGTGGGAATTGAGGCTCAAAGCAGTGGAGTGACTTGCCCAAGGTCACACAGCTGGTGAGTGGAAAGTCAGTGAGTCTCTGATCTCCAGCTTATGGGCCTGCTCCTTCATCTCTACCTTTCAGCACTGGGGCCTCTTAGAAACTGACAGATGAATGGACACTCCTTGCAGCATGCAGCTTCCACTTTCCTGTCTGCATGTCCAGACCCTGTCCCCTTCCCTGGGGCCTCAGCAGGCCCAGGACTGCAGAAATGCCATTTGGAGCCCCTTTGTATGAGAAAGGAGTTGTTTTAAATTCTAAAAGCAGGAACTATTTTTAAAAGTAGTAGCTGACTTGGGAGTGTCATTGATCTGAGCAATCAGTCAGCAGACATCTCTTTAGCAGCATGTGATTTAGAAGTGTCTCTTTCAGTCCCTGGTGAGAATAATGCAACCTACCTCCCCTTCTGGTCTGTAAACTGGGATGCTCAGGTAGGATATTAAGTTACTTCAAAGGGTAACTTTGTTCCCGTGCTGTGAATAAAGAGATCCTGTTTGCACTTAGCTGGCTAAGTAGTGGCAGACTGAGTGTTTCGGCTTTCACAATGTAATTCTTTATTGTCCTCAAGTATTAAGGACTGATTTCTTTACTGAGTCGGCTTCAACTTTAAAATAGAGCACTGGGACAGAATGACTTATGTGTAGACCTGTGTCTCCACAGCATGAAATGAAGCATAAAGGTAGTGGTTATCTAATTAGCATCCAGTCTAAATATCCAGGAAGAAAAGTAAAGGTTTTGGGTTGATTTGGGCCGATATAGAATTTTTTTTTAAGTATGGGAGTTGGGGAGGAGGACAGTTGATCATTAATGGCTGTCATTTGCTGTGTCTCTACTGGTTCACAGCTGGCCCTGTACTAGGCAGGACACACAGGTTTTTCCCTTTGCATCCCTTAGAGGGCTGAGAGGCTGTTGGAGATCACATACACCAAGCTTTCAGCCATCCAGATGTGCAGGAGGAAGGGTCAAAGAATGACAGCGGAGGAAGAAGGGAAGTAAGGGGGTTGGGGGAGGAAAATAACAATTGTGGTTCAGAAGGAGGAAGCAGACCTGAATCAGCAAGTGGTTACTTTGGGGGGAGGGGGCAAGCAGGAAGCAATTTCTCATTCTCGCTGATTTCTCAAGGCACAAGGGATGTGGAGGACAGGCGAGCAGCGAGCAGCGTCTCTCCCATGGCAGCAGCGATCTGCAGCATGGATGCGTTCTCCCCAGGTGCAGCTCTGGGCCAGGTGCACGGGGACAGACAGGCAGCACTCAGATGAGTGGGCGAGGCACAGCTTACATAATGCTGCTGACAGGAGCCTTCCTGGGGCCTCAGGAAAGTGCAGCAGGAGCCTGGGTGAGCGACTCAGAGACATGCATGTTCTGAAATGCCTGCATGCCCTGGCCTGACAGCTGGTGTCCTATAAAAGAGTTAACACCTGCCGGATGTTTGGAACAGTGCCTAGCATATAGTAAGCACTCAATAAACATTGGCTCTTGTGCTATTCTTTAGAGTTTGTAACCCAGGATGAAGGGATGTCTGTGAACTCCCTGAGATTGCATGCAGAATTTTTTATATATGTGTGCATATTTCTTGGGGGATGGGGGGCCTGACTTTCAGCATATACTACCTCAAAGGGCATAAGGCCAAGAGCTTCTTTCTGGATGTGCTGGCTTCCAGCTGGGCTTCCTTGGGTTGGTTGCTTCACCTCTCTGGGCTCTGTTTCCTCATCTGTGTGAGGCAGGCTCTGGGTAAACAGCTGCCCTCTGAGATGCTTTCGGCTGATGGTGTGGACAGGCTGTGGGTCAGCTCGGCTGTGGTCCTGTTTGATGTGATGAAGTAGAGATAGGAGCCCAGGCAGCTCGAGCTGGAAATGTCCCTGTGTAGCACGGCTTTGAATGTCACGTCTTGAGCCTGTCTCTAAGCTTAAAAAAGTACTGAGCAGGGGTGTGGGGGCCTCCTGGCTGGGGCAGGCAGGCTCTCCCTGACACCTCTTTTACATTTCTAGAACTTGCCCTGGTCCAGGCCTTTTAGGTCTCTGAAGAAAGCGAGTCTGGCAGATCCTCAAAAGCAGAGGGTGTCATTATAATGGAAACTTGGATGCTTTCCAGAATTGTGCTTGTGGTGAAAATACTGAAACAGGCAGCCTAGTCACCCAGGTGCCTGGAAAATACCCCAATGGGGTGAATAATTAGATACAGGCCAGGCGCAATTATGTTTTTCCTGCAGTATGCTGGAACCTGGAGATCTACATTTTCTCTTGGAATGGAATATGTGTGCTTGCTGGTCCATTTTGCTCCCTGTGGTCACAAAGGTAATGGTGTGGCCACGGAGGGG